GCTAATTGCCTCTGTGAACAACTGCCTCTTTTGCCGTAAGACGTGAAAAACTAGATGATGCCCAGCTACCATTATTGAACATTTTGATCAAAGATTCCACAGAAGAATTCTGATCAAAAGGGGGAAATGCAGGACAGAATTTCAAATTCTCATTAACTCTAGACTTTCTTGAGCTATGGAAGATCGATGACCCTCTTCCCACTTTTGCCTGAGATCATCTTTAAACCATAATCCAAAAATAACCCCTTGAGTCTTAAAACTAAACAATAGCTTAGCTAGTTAAAAAGGTCACCTTGAGTATTATACTTTTTAAAGAACTGGGATAATGCACCAGACTGCAAGGTCAGTTTGAACCAAAAGGTTGGTGGTTCAAATTCACCAGCCACTCCTTGGAAACCCTATGCAGGCTTGCTATGAGTCGGAACCAACTCCATGGTCCTTAACAACAGTAATGTAGGTATTTCTGTAACATCTACTTAACAACAGCAACTCAAAAGATAGATGGAACCTTAAGGGACAATGAGCTCATGTTAATGAGGGAGCAATTAACTCAGAAAAGGAGAGCGAGAATGGCTACACAACTCAAAAATCATAATCAATATCATCAAGTTGTACATGTAGAATCCGTTTCATTGGTTTATGTTTTACTGGATATGTTCTCAACAACAAAATACATAGAATTTTTAAAGGAAAGTAAAAGGGAAGAGGGAAACTGTATCAGATGACTCTCAATTGCATAAGAACTAAGGCAGACTGTGAGGTCCTGGATCTCAAGTTTGATGTCTCAAAAGAGATGAGACTGTCAGGAACCTCAGGAAGAGATGATTTTTCACATGAGGAGGACTGTAAAATAATTACAGCAAGAGGGCAGGCTGTGGTGTATTAAAAATAGTCACAAAGTTTCTACAAGCCCTCACCATCAAGAAAACCAAATCCAGTTTCCACTGAGGTGATTCCAACTCCTGGCAACCACCATGAGTGTCAGAGTGGAACTGGGCTCCACTGCACTTTCAATGAGGGATTCTTCTAGTAAGTCATCAGGCCTTTCCTCAGAGGTGCCCCTAGGTGGACCTGAATATCCAACTTTTCATTAACGGTCTGCATCATCTAAAACTCTTCCAATTTAGAATTGGAGTCTAACCCTTTCGACCCCTTTTTCAATCTGAACTGGCCTTTGACCAACAGAATGTAGCAGCAGTGACAAAGGACTCTAGAAGCCTTATGGCTTTGACTCTTGCCCTCTTGCCACTGCCACCACTATGGGGAAAGTCTGGACTATTCCCAGGGGACACCATTCATCTGTCAGTCTGTTGTCGTGAGGCGGCTAGGATTTTGCTGTGATGCCAGAGGGTTTTTTTAAATACCAGCGGGGTCACCAGTGATGGACAGATTTCAGTGGAATGTTCAGACTAAGGCAGACTACTTAAAAAGGTCTGGCGATCTACCTCTGAAATTTCGTCACTGAAAACTTTATGGCTCACTAAAGCTAAAGAACACTGTCCAGCTGGCTTGTTTTGGACATGTCATCAGGAGTATCAACTGATAGAGGAGGACATTATATTTGATGACATAGAGAAGCCAACAAGGGCATGGAATACCACTGGCACAACAATGGATATGCCAGCAAACTAATTAGATATTATTGTTGTTGTTGTTATGTGCCGTGGAGTCGGTTCCGACTAATAGCGACCCTGTACAGGGTTTCCGAGGCTGTAAATCTTTACGGGAGCAGAAAGCCTCATCTTTCTCCTGCGGAACAGCTGGTAGTTTCGAACTGCTGACCATGAGGTTCACAGCCCGATTTGTAACCACTACGCTACCAGAGCTCCTTTAGATATTAATAAGCACAAGAATATTAGAAAGCATGAGATTTTCATACTACTTACGAAATTTTTCTCTCCTATGAACAAACTGTATTCCTTCTGGCACTTAATCACTCATTCTTATACTGACTTGTAAGAGCCTGAATCATTGACCTTTGCTGCTTTTTGAACTTCTTGTCTTTCACTTTCCAAGTAGTTTGTTCATGTTAGACTAAATCTTTAAGGACAGAGATGTATCTTCAGTATCTGTTGAATGAATGAATGAACAGAACAAGGATATGCAATAATAGCTCAATAGATGTATATTGTCTATGTTGTTGTTGTTAAGTGCTGTAGAGTCGATTCCAACCCATAGCGACCCTGTATAGGGTTTCTGAGGAGTGACTGGTAGGTTTGAACAGCTGACCTTGTGGTTAGCTGTCGATATTTATCCTACAGCGTCATTAGTAAACATGTTGTTGTTGTTAAGTGCTATCGAGTCAGTTCTAACCCAAAGCGGCCCTCTATAGTGTTTCCAAGCAGTGGCTGGTGAGACTGAACCACCGACCTTACAGTCCAAACTGACTTTGCACCCAGCACATTAATCCACAGCACCACACCAGGACTTCACAAGTCACAGAGAATATATTTTCTATGAAAACTGTACTTAGAAATTATTTTCATAACATGGTTCAAATGAAGACGCTTGCAAAAGTATTCCTTACATAAAAGTAAAGGAAAAGAGATGGTAAGGATCAAAAGGAACATGGAAACCAAGTAGGAATTAAAGAAGAAATTAGGACGTTACCTTATGTATTTTGATAAGAACTTTATTTTTTATCATTTCAAATATTTAAATACTGAAAAGAGAGATGATTATTAGCTAAGACAAATATTAGTCTAGAAACTTTCAGACTTAAGTAGAAAGGATCAGAAATTAATAGTACATGAACATAGAAAGACACCAAAAGTAGCACGAGGAAGAGGCATATACATACATATATTGTTGTTGTTAAGTGCCATTGAGACAGTTCTGATTCATAGCAATACTATATAAGGTTTCTAAGAAGCAGCTGGTGAGCGTGAACCACCGACCCTGCAGTTCAAACCAACCTTGCAGTCCAGCACATTAACCCACAGCACCACACCAGGACTCCGATTACTCCTATATACATATATACATATGTTGTCTTTGTTAAGTGCTGTCAAGTCAATTCTGACTCACAGAGACCCTGTATAGGGTTTCCGAGGAGCAGCTGGTGAGTTTGAACTGCCGACCGCGTGGTTCAAACCAACTTTGCAATACAGTGCTTTTATCCCACAGTGCCATACCAGGACTTCTAGATATATAGACACATAAAATAAAAGCTTTACTTTGAGAATAGAAAGGGCAACTGGCCATAAATGGAAGAGCTGTGACAATCACCAAAACACTTGAACAATCAAGTCTTTTTAAGAACTAAAGTCTTCATCCCCTGAAGAACTGTTTGAACTTGAAAAATCATTGTCCTCTGATGCTTCCACTTACAAAGAACAGAAAAGGTATAGCACTTTATGCCACATGGGATGAGTATGTAAAACTACTTGGGGTTTAGAATTACTACAGCAACTACGTAATTCCGTGATGTTGTTTATTCAGCAACTGACAGTTTGACTGTTTATTTTCTATTTGGTCATTCTATTTCAAGGCTCATTTCATGTAGCCAGTTCATTTGCCATGGCAAGACATTGTCTTCTTAGCCCAGACTAAGCCTTTTTGTGACGTCTTCATTCATAAGGTTGTCACTGAATTATGTAGATTAGGAAAAGCTAGCAGGTTCCTAATTTTATACTTTCAAAATATCTTAAAATAACACCATTTGGCAATTTATGAAATGTTTCCTTAAAATGTTTCCTTACAATACTGAAACAGAACTTGTGAGGTTAAAATACTCTCAAAGTGCATCATCTCTAAAATCCAGAAAGTTCCAGGCCAGCTGTACAGAAATGTTTTTAAGCGACATTACAGGTAATGAAATGGTTACGAAGTCGATTCTACATTTCTACTTACGTGGTCTGTGGTCACCAGGATCATTTCATTAAAATAATCTTCCCGGAAATTACCAAGCTAATTTCAAAACAGAGTTTTTTTCCTCTTCCAGGATTCTGAATAAGAGCTAAAGCAGGTGTAAAACTTAGATATGCGAACTCAACCAACCGGAAGTAACACTGTGTGACCACAAATTAAAGTTACTATTGCTTATATGCAGGAGAGATTAAGAAACCACCAACTTCAACCAACAGTTGGAAACAAATTACACGTGCTAAGCAACAACGCAGATTAGGAAACCGGTAGTACTTTTAGAGAGATATTTATTTGATGTTGCATGCAGACAATCAACATTTCAGTCGCCTTCTTGGGCCAGTATCTATGCCAAGCTCTTTCGAAACTGGGTTTGATAAAGTCGACTCCAAGAAGGAAAGCAGCTCATATGGCAAAATGGTATCCTCATACAGCCAGGAAAACCGGTGACGCACTAGGAGCTTGGAAAATATCCCTTCGTTTACCTTGCTAGTAGCAGAGAGGTAGGAAAATGTCGTCCACGTGCACTATTGTTTTCCAGATACGTTTATTTCTTTTTAACTTAGTATGCTTTGAAACCAGTACCCTTAATCTCAGGCCAACGGGGGGGATGGCAGCGCCACTGGTGGTATCTGGGCGCAACACAAGTTTAATAAATAAAAACACAATATTTTTCTTTCTTTCTTTCTTTCTTTTGCAGCGTACTGAATGCCCTCACTTCTCTCCTCCTCCACACCTCTGCCATCACCCCACGCAGCCGCCGCCGCCTCGGGTCCCCATGACAACCCCACCCTAGCCGGGCACCCACCCCCGCCGATGCCCGGCCCCGCCCGGCCTGCCTGCCACACTTGCCGGGCAGGTGACGGCTCCCAGGGGTGGCTGCAGCCGGCCAGGACCCCTCCTAGCCGGGCACGAACCTCCCGGCCTGGCAGGTGGGGAGGGGCGGAGGAGGTGCCATCTCGACCCCCCAGAGCAGTGATGCGGTGGCCGGGCGCCACCTGGCCCTGGGATGCGGCGGCCCCCAGCCCCTCTCGGGACGGCTGAGAGGGGCGGAAGGGCGGGCGCAGTGGCCGCGACCGAACTTGTCTGTTTTCACCAACAAGGACGCGTCGCGGCGTAGGGGGATGCGCGCTCACCTTGAAGGGGTTGTTGAGATCCGGGTCCGCAAAAGGGTTACTGTCGAAATCCGACATCTCGGCGGCGCTCGGCGTCTCCCACCAGACCCAGGCGCAGACCGAGAGACGAGGCGAGGCCGCCGCCCCCTTGCGCACTCACGTCGCCGCCGCGGCCGCCGAACAGATCCGGGTGCAGCTTGCGAGGCCACCCAGCCGGCCGCGCCACTGAGCATGCCCGGTGCGGCGGGCTCCCAGCTGGCACCGCCGCTCCTGTTCGCCGTCCCGTTTTTCCCGACTGGAATCCAGCACTCCGGAATTTGGCTTAGACCGAGTGGGATCAGGGACGGAGGGAGCCGGGCGGGAGAGCCGGGTGAGCGCTCCTACACCGCGAGCACCTGACTGTGGCTTCGATTGTCTTGATGGAGACTTAAAATTGGCCCCTCGAAACAGAGCGTGATTTAGGGAGGAGCTGGTGTTTGCGGAAACCACGTACACATTTGGCCCAGGTGGGAGGGCCGCCGGGACGCAGGGTGCACACCTGGGGTGGGGTCTCTGGGCACGGAGCTGTGGAGGCGAGGAGAAACCTCCGCACCTGTCTCCAGTGAGAAAGGCCGGTGGGACCCGGCCCTCGCTAATGAATTTTGCACAACCCTGACCCCAGCTGGGAATCCCAGCCTCCTGTCTTCCTGCACCTCCGACTCCAGGTTGCTACTAAATTATGGAGACGTGCCTGGGCGCTGCCAAATCTGACTCCTTCCACGGAGGTTTGGTAAAGAGTTAAAGATTGGGTACCAAGGTTCAGCTCCTGCTCCCATCCTCCCGAATCTGCAAAAAGCCTACTTATTCGGAAATGATATGGGGTGGGCGTGACGGTGGCGCAGGTCTAGCGATCGAGTCACTCAAGTTTATGTTGGTGGATAACAGAAAGAAGATCCCCAATTTTGGTTTACGTTCAGGCATTTGAGTACGAATTATACTACGCTAGTTTTTCCTTCTCTGTATCTAGCACCGTCCTGGTGTGACGCTGTAGGATCATCCCTGGACTGCTAACTGCAAGGTGGCAGTTCAAGTTCTCCAGCCCCTCTTCGGAAACGCTACGTGGGGACGTTATGAGTCGAACGACTGGATGGCACTTAACCCAGCACCAGGGATGACATTACTGAAAAACATATTCGTAAGGAATGTAACTGTAACATTCCTAAATCCCCTCCTTTCCCCACTTTATTTTCCTTCTGCCATAACAGAAAAGCACTTAGCAGGACCAGCTGTAAACAGCCAGAATTATTTTGATTTGGTGGTGTCTAGAAATTGGAGTCTTCACTTTCAGCAAGCAAAGTTGTATCATCTGCATATAAAACTTATTGATGAAGACCAAAGACCACAGCTTTCCGTATGGATTACATGTCAATGTAAAGAAAACAAAAATCCTCACTACTGGACCAATAAACAACATTCTTATCAACGGAGAAAAGATTGAAGTTGTCAAAGACTTCTTTCTTCTTGGATCAACCATCAACACTCATGGAAGCAGCAATCAAGAAATCAGATGACATATTGCATTAGGCAAATCTGCTGCACAAGACCTTTTCAAAGTGTTGAAGAGCATAGATGTCAGCTTGAGGACTAAGGTGCACCTGACCAAAGCCATGCTATTTTCAATATAACCTCATATGCATGTGAAAGCTGGACAGTGAATAAGGAAGACCATAGAAGAATTGATGCATTTGAATTATAGTGTTGGAGAATATTGAAAGTGCCATGGGCTGCCAAAAGAACCAACAGATCTGTATTGGAAGAAGTGCAGCCAGAGTGCTCCTTGGAGGTCAGGATGGCCAAACTTGGTCTCTCATACTTTGGACATATTGTAAGGAGGGACCAGTCACTGGAGAAGGATATCATGCTGGGTAAAGTCAGAAAAAAAGAGGAAGACCCCCCAGAGAGATGGATTGACAAAGTGAGCTCAAGCATGGCAACAATTGTAAGGTTGGCCCAGGTCCTGGCAGTGTTTTGTTCTGTAGTGCATAGGGTCATTATGAGTCGGTATCGACTCAATGGCACCTAACAACAACAGGAATTGGAGAGGAGTCTATTGTGGCTCTGTAGGATTAGCACCGGACTGTTAACCATAACGTAGGCTGTTCAAACTCACCAGCTGCTCCTTGGAAACCCTATACAGTTATGAGTTGGAAACAGTCTGGAGGGTACATAACAACAAACAGGAACTGGAAAAAAATGACACTGCATGCTCATATAAAGATTCAAAGTTTTACAAACTCTATATAGGATCTCTTTGGGTAGTGGTGACCTTTTTGAGGCTTTCACGATGCACTGGAAGACACTAGCCAGAAATGATAGAGGAAGAGCACATTTGCTGCAGTGTCTTTGATGAGACCTGAAGCAAACGCTTCCAAGCAGCTGAATAGGACATAAATGATTATGGCAGAATTGTAAGATCTTTAATATGAAAAAAAGCAAATGTCTATCAAGTCCATCACAGTAACCTCAGAAGCTGCTCTGTGCCTGGCTCATTGTTGTTAAGTACCATCAAGTCGGTCCTGACCCATAGTGACCCTATATAGGGTTTCCAGGGAGCAGCTGGCGAGCTTGAACCGCCAACCTTGCAGTTCAAACGGCTTTGCAGTCTGGCACATTAACCCACAGTGCCACACCAGGACTCCACCTGGCTCATTGCAAGTGTTTAATACAGAAAGTGGGTTAATATAGAAGTGGGTTCAAATCCCACTTCTGATACATCATGCTTGGCAAAGTGTAGGGTCAGTGAAAAAAACGGGAGGGAGACCCCCAACAAGATGGATTGGCACAGAGTCCGCAGCAATGTGGGCTCAAGAGTAGCAGCAATTGTAAGGATGGGGCAGGATTGGGCGGTGTTTGGTTCTATTGTGCATACAGTAACTATAGGTCAGCACCAACTCAACATCAGTTAATAACATGTAGAAAAGCATTCTGTGTGTATTTCAGATCTGTTCCTGTTGAGTTGATAACAACTCTGTGACCCTAAAGTTCAAAGTAAAACTTCCCCATAGTTTTAACAAGGCTGCCACATCTTTTTCTTGCTAAGTGGGCAGGTAGGTTCTAACCACCAAACTTAAGGTTAGCAGCCTAGCAGTTGATCAGAGAGCCAGCAGGACTCCTCTGCATGTATTTTTCTCAAGTTCCCTCAAGTGGGTCTAATTTATAGCCACCCTGTCTATATAGGGTTTCTGATGAGCAGCTGGTAGGTTTGAAGCACCAAACTTGTGGTTAACAGTCCGATGCTTATTCTACAACCCCTGCATGTATTATTATCTTGTTAAGTGCTGTGGAGTCTGTTACAACTCATACCGACCCTTAAAGGGTTTCCAAGGAGCACCTGGTAGGTTTGAACCACCAACCTTGTGATTAGCAGTCCAGTGCATTTTCTGCAGTGTCACACTATGTTGAATATCTGAATAAGGCAATGGGACACCCAGTCCCTTGTTCTTATTTCATAGTGGTGGTAGTGGTGGTTATGTGCCATGGAGTTAGTTCTGACTCATAGCAACCCTGCACTGGGTTTCCGAGGCTATAAGTCTTTACGGGAGCAGAAAACCTCATCTTTCTCCCACAGAACAGCTGGTAGTTTCGAACTGCTGACCTTGAGGTTAGCAGCCCGATTGTAACCACTACGCTACCAGAGCTCCTCTTATCTCTCCAGAGTTTCCCATTGCCCTGCTCATCTACAGCTCTCATCACTTTAGCCTTCACTCCCTCCACCTAGTTTCCTAATAAACCAGCAGCTGTTTATTATGCATCTACTGTATTCCAAGACAGTGAGGATCAGCTGAGCCTGCATTGTAGCGTGGAAAGTTCCAATGATGCTGTTTACAACTAATGATATACTCGTACCTAGAACAAAGATTTACAGACTAACTTGGAATACTTGTTAAAGATTCAGGTGCCTACCTCTCACCGAGATTCTGCTTCAAGGCATCTGAGGTAGGAAACACTAGATATGCATTTTTTAAATGTTGTTGTTGTTAGGTGCCACTCAATCTATTCCTACTAATAGTGACCCTGTGCACAACAGAATTAAGCACTAACTAGGGCACATAACAACAACAAGTCCTGTGCCAACCTCACAATCGTTGCTATGCTCAAACCCATTGCTGCTCCCAGTCCATCTCATTGGGGATCTTCCTTTTTTTTTTTGCTGACCCTCCATTTACCAACCATGATGTCCTTCACTTTTAGGACATACTGTCAGGACTGGTGCCTCCTGATAAGAGACAACAGGCTCAAGCGTAGCAACAATTGTGAGGTTGGCACAGGACTAGGCAGTGTTGCTTTCTGTTATGCATGAGATCACTATGAGTCACTACCGACTCAACGGCAGTTAACAACAACAACAAGTGTGAGGGACATAGTCTCACCATCCTGGCTTCTAGAAAGCATTCTGGCTTTTTTGTTTGTTGGTTTTTCTGGCAGTTCATGATTCTTTTAATATTCTTCTCCAGCATCATATTCAAATGCATCAATTCCTCTACAGTTGTCTCTATTCAGTCTCCAAATTTCAGATGAATATGAGGCTATTGAAAATACCTGACATCTTTGTTTTTCTTTGACATGGCTTGCACCTCAGTTTAAAGAAAAAAAAAAAAAAAATCCTCACTACTGAATCAATAAATAACATCAAGATATATGGACAAAAGATTGAAGTTGTCAAGGACGTCATTCTTCTTGGATCAACCACCAACACTCATGGAAGCAGCAGTCAAGAAATCAAATGATGTATTTCATTAGGCAACTCTGCTGCCCAGACCTCTTTAAAGTGTTGAAGAGCAAAGATATCATTTTGAGAAACAGTACACCTGACCCAAAGCATGATATTCTCAATAGCCTCATATGCATGTGAAAGGTGGACAGTGAATAAGGAAGACTTTAGAAGAATTGATGTATTTGAGTTATAGTGTTGTTGTTGTTGTGTGCCATGGAATCAGTTCCCACTCATAGTGACCCTGTACAGGGTTTCTGAGGCTGTAAATCTTTACAGGAGCAGAAAGCCTCATCGTTCTCCTGCGGAACAGCTGGTAGTTTTGAACTGACCTTGCGGTTCGCAGCCCAATTTGTAACCGCTATGAGTCGTTCCCGACTCGATGGCACTTAACAACAACAACAACATGCTACCAG